CCCCGACGGCGGCGTCGCTCCCGTCCCTTCCCGCGGCCGCGATGTCGCTGCTCCGCGGGCCGCGGCCCCGCACCGCCGGCAAGAAGGGCCCCAGAAAGCCGGCGGCAGCCAGGCGGGACTGGGATGTAAGTGCTCCCCGCTGCAGGGCGGCCTCCGCTGGGAAAAAGGCCTGGGAGGCTCCGTGCCCACGGCTGGGGGAGCCTCCGCCCTCCGCAGGGGCTGTGCAAGACCCCGGGTTGCGTGTGGGTTCGGGCGGGCAGACACGCCGTGTGCGAGGGGGACACGGCCCCTCTGGTTTCCTTGTCCTGGTAGAGGTCAGGCCCCCTGCATCGCCTGGGAGAGGAGCGCTCAGGTTTGGTGGAGCTGTCGTTTTTGGTGGCTGCTTCGCCGAGGGTGGAACGCGCTGCAGCGCCATTAAAGTGCACGGCAGTACAGTGTTAGGCTAATTATACTGCAATTTAAAAGTTGTTTGGGTTGTCTTTTTTTGAAATAAAACTTTTTTTAAAAAAAAGTTTGCCCTCAGTCGCGGTTTTTGACGTGTTCCCTGGTTCCTGTTCGCAGAGTACCGTCCATGATTTGACAGTGCACCGTGCAACTCCTGAGGATATTGTAAGTTTAATAGCAGTCACTGCTCAGTCCCTGTGGCAAGAACATTTAGCTGGTTGTCTGACATAAAAAGCGCTTACCATGCTCACGGGGATATTTTTCGCCAATGTTTAATCTCTTTTTCAAGCTTCTGAAGATGTTGGATCTTTAGTGCTAGTTTTTTGTTTATGAGCATCCCCAGGTCTGGCAGTCAGTGTTTTAAAGTTTTTTGTTCCCACTGTGAAGCAGTAGCCACAGTGTTTATTTCAATCAATTGCGTGCCATCATAAAAGGTAAATACATAATAATGCATACACATATACATAAAAGGTCAGTGGATTAGTTGAAGGCCTTATCTCTGCTGGGAAGGACTGAAAGATGTGTTTTATCTGAGGAGCCCCTCTAATTCTGAAAATACTCAATTTTCATTTAAACAGTATAAAGAATTTCTTGATACTGAGTGACCTGTTTATTGCAAAGTATGTGAATTCTTTGCAATAAACAGATCATGTGTGTTTATGTTTATTTAATGGCATATTTAAATGTGTATTTGCATTTTCTTGATAGCATTACTTATGAGGATGGAAGAGGCAGTATGAGCTATTATAAGTTTTGACAGGTTTGTCAGGACAGATGGTCATGGGAGCAGAGAAAGACTTGATTTTACAAATGTTTGGCTTAATAGCTTCTAGAGACTTTAGCAAGCACCTCACACATTTAATTTCTTAAATTTGTATTTTATTTTTTTTTTATACATAATCTAATTGTTAGAAGGAGAGAGACACTGTGTCTACTGACTGACAGTGTTAAATCAGGAAAGTATTTTCATGCACCTTACAGGTGCTGGTGTTTGGGTTTTGCCTCCCTTTACAGCTGAGAAAATTCTTGCAGAGTCAGTGGTGTAGGGCAGACAGAAATTGAGACTTTCCCCATTTACCTTTGGAGCTGCTTTAAATGTGGCTGGTACTGATGGCATTTTACACTTGTTTATGAGGTTGTCATTGGCACTGCTGTGAAGTTAACATAAATAATGTTTGGTGCATGAAAAAATCAAGAAGAACTCGTTAGCTTTGCCCTGGAAATTTTGCTTAAGATTGATTCTTGGAATTATTTCTTTTATGTTTCTGTAGCTCCGTCGCCGTGAAATACACAAATCAAAAAACAAAGCACTGGCACATCTGGAACTCCAGGAGAAAGCACTGAACAGAAAATGGAAGAAGCAAAAGCAGCTGGATGCGGATTCATTGGAGAAAAGGAAATTGGCTCTGATGCGTGAGGTGAGAGCTAAATTTGCTCTTGCAGCCTGCTGCAGGTGATCTGCAGCACTACTGGAAAACTGTTCTTGCACGTGGAAGCCACAGTTGCTCCTCTTGTGGGATAACTTGATTTCACATGTGCATATGCTCTGTCTGCTGCATGCATGCAGTGATTGGAGTGAACTGACAAACCAGCTGTTGCAGAATTGCACATTTGACCCAGGTTGTCTGGCTGTGCCCTCTGTAATTTTGCAGGCCTCTCTTCATCTGAACAGGAACTGTTTGCAGAGTTCAACTGTTGGAAAAAGTATGTGTATTCTTTGGGTTCTTATTGCCAGCTTGCCTTTTCTTCCTCATGTCTAACTTTCTTTCTTTGATGCAAACATAAACATTTCTCCGTCGGGGAGGGATGCTGCTTATTTAAACAGATAAAGTGTGGTGTTGAGGGCTGAAAGGGTGAGGCAAGATGTTGTTAAGGGAGGAAAATTGACACAACAAAGATTGATGAGCTATGGCTGACAAGCTTGTCACCTGAGGATTGTAAAGCTTGTTCTATTAGCATTCTAAAGCACTCTGACTGTAAATATATTACTGAATTTGCTTTCGAGTATTGAACTGTAGCAGTAAACCTAAGCCTAGTTAACAGAGAGAGTAGCTGTCACTGAATAGTGGTGGTAGATCTCCTTTTTCATGTGGCAGGTCACTTCTTGCCATGTGTTATAAAAACTAATCTGAAAATTAGCTGTCAGACCTCTGTACTCGAGCAGACTGTGAATTGTTCCTGCTGGTAAAGAATGATGATGAGCAATGTTCACTTAGCAGTCAAAATAAACATGATCTGGTAGTTCTGTAAATGTGCAGTGGACTAACCATCGCAAACTTAATTGTTCTGTAATTTGTCAGAAGTCTCTTTCTGATCTCTGAGAACATTCAAGCATGGAGAAACAAATGGAAGTACTTAGAATTAAAGATCACCACCTAGTTTTTTATTTGTCCCGTGTTTCTCTGCAGTCACGGTAGAATTTTTGTGTTATGGGTGTCTTGCTAATCAAGCCTCAGATTTGGACTTTTGTTACTTTGGTACTTTTCTGCCATACATTTTTCGGCAGAGTGTTCAGAAAGCACTGTGAACCTCTGTATGACTTTCCCTAAAGCAGCCTAGTTTCAATAATACTTCTGTGCAGAAATAAATTATGTGTCACAAAAGGTAGATTAGACCATCTTTCCTAAGATTTTGCTGGACTACCTATTATGGGACATCATTCTTTTGCAGATGTGAAACTCATTTTTAGGAAATAGTATTCTATATTTGTTTATGTTTCTAGTGAAAATGCACAAATCTCCATTCCTTCTGAGTAGTTTTGCCCTTTATAGTTAAGAGATTACTTAATTCAGTTTACTCTGTGTCTACTTCTGAATCTTTTAAAAGGAAGACAAAAGGAAATGATGCCAGGCAAGATGAAACAGATCTGGCTATTGCTGTTTCAAACACTGGCAACTTGTGTGTAAAGAAAAATAAAACAGATAGGGGAGAATTACCATTTTCGCCTCTCCCTAACTTAAATCTTGTTAATTGCTTAACAACTCTGTTGTTAAGAGTAACTGTGGGGACTCTGTGTCTCCCAGTAGAGCACAACATACTGAGAACTGTTTCCTTGTCTCTGTTACCTTGGTGATCTTTTTCTTTCAGTGCTGTGAGTGTAACTTTCTAAGCCTTTTGGATCCTGCTCATCTGCAAAGGACTCGGAGACAAAAGCTAAGAAGGTGCTGCCGCCAGTAGCGTCGTTTCTCATGTAGTTGTGTACTGAACAGAAAGACGTTACAAGAGTTATCAAATGGATAAACAAAATTTTTATATTTTGGGGACTCGTCTGCCTAAAAATCTGAATGAAAAGATAATATGAGCTCACTCTGAAACTTAGGACTGTGAATGTGTAGGTACCACACTGAGTGGTCCTGTAACAACTTATTTTTAAAATAATGTTAATGCATGGCACCAAAGAGTAGAGGTAAATGGATTATGGTAGTGGAGAGATTTTAGGATGAGTCTGGTTCATTTTGCTTCGATAAAAATCTGAAAGATGAGGGAAGGTGATTTTTGATGAAATTTGTGGGTGATACTAAACTGGGACAAGGCACACTGCTTAGTGAATTTTTTCCAGGGCATGTAAAAGGGCCTAAAGGGGCTACAAGATGATACCACTTTTTTTTCTCATCACAAGTGAGCTAATCTACCTTGGGAGCAATGCTCTAAAAATGTTCATAACGTGTTCAGCAGGAGGGTAGAGCTTAGGAACCTGCTGATGCCTAAAAAGATCTAGTGAGGAGGATAAAAACAAACTAATCAGGATAATTTTTGTCTGATTATACACATCACTCTAATTTTAATTGCCTGCAGGAAATGAGTCATAAACTTTTTTCCTTTTTTTCTTTCTATATTTTTTCTTTTGCTGATCTGGTATAATAACTTTATCTAAAAACCTGCTTTGTTTTGATGTCAGATGGCTACATGGAAAGACTAGATTTAGTTTGTATCAGAAGGGAAAATTGAATAGTGGTCTAGAAAAGGAGATATGTGAAGTGCTTGAAAGATGAATATTCACTGATTTGCTAAATTACTATGAAAAGTCTTAATTTACTGCAGTGTAATGCAAGTGTGCTGGTTTTGCATTTGCAAGCTCAAAAGACAAGAATAACATGGAAAGTCAGATATGTAGGGAAACTTTGTGACATAAGAAAGCATGTAGTAAAATAGGGGGTTGAGGAGAAGTAAGTGAAATGCCATTGCCTAGAATTTTTGCATGAGGCTAAATGTAAGCCAGCAAACTTACCAATGGACACTGAAAAGAACTCTGGAGATAATAGCGTAGAGTACTGTGAAGCCATTTCAAAACAATTTTTTATGATTCCTGGATGAGCAAAACTTGTCAGTCAGCTTTCAAATTTTGAGTAGGAGGGCATATACATGAGCCTTTTCTGTGAGGTCTTCTAAAGTATTCATAGTGTCTGGATCAATTTGATGAACAAGGATGAAGCGAGGTCACATATATCTCCTCTCAGGTGTTTAAGAATATCTACCTTCTCCCCAGGTTGCAGGATATAATTTTACTAGTTTTCAATTTCCAGATTTTGAATGAGGCCCAGAGTCAGTGAGGAGCTTTAAATTGTGTTCTGCTCATGAAGTCCCATCCCCAGTCAGCTCCATTTGGCTCATGGTAGCTGGATGCCTCTTGCTTTGCATTCCAAGGCATCCTTCCTTAGGAGGCACCTCTTGTGATGGGCTTCAAATACTAGAGAGAGAATGTGAATACAGAAGCTGTATCTTCTGGAGATTCCCAGAATGTCTTCTGATGCCAGATGTAGTCAGCTGTGTTTACCTCTGCTGGAACTTTTGGTGGTATATGGCTTAAGTTTTAGATATGGTTTTCAGGAGGCAAGACTGAGTGAAACAAGTCTGCTTGAATTGGTTTGCATCTCATCAAATAGTACATGTGTTGGGTGTCAGATGTAGGTAAGTATTCTGTGACTTAACATTGAGATCAAATGATCTGAGGATGTGTTGGTTTGTTTTTTTAATTGCTAGGTATGTCTTTGTTTTGATGAGGATGTCATAAATTCACAGCTTCTTGTGTCAGGCTGGGAGGAGAAGAGGGAGTGAAAGGATTTGTTCTAAAGAAAGTCAGTGCTGATGGGGGCCTCAGAAGTAATAACTGTTTAATTTTTCAGAAAAACTATGAATTCTGTTTAGTCAGAATGAAGTATGGTGTTCTGATCTCTTATTTAGGATCTAATTGCACAATACCAGCTTTGCAAACATTCTCTCGTTGCCGTTTTCTTGGTAACTATTTAGAGGAACAATACCAGAAAAAAAAGATTCAGTCTGCTCAGTGTAAAGTTTGCTTATACACTGTACTTTCAGATTCTGTCTGATCAATACCATTTGCAAGATGTATTGGAACGATCTGGTCAGGTTATGGCTGTGGCAAAAGACTTGCTTGGGGATGCTCCTCGCACACGAACAGGTAGAACATCTCATCTATATGTGGTAGCACATTTAAGATTATCTCCTTGCTTTCCATGAATAGTCTTGCTTTGCAAGGAGTTCTTTTTAACTGCTTTCATCTCATTGTCTAACACAGTATGACTGATCCTGTTCATGTTGGATGAAACACAGGTGAGGCTATCTCCAGTGGCAGGGGAGAGTTACTGATGGCTGGTTATTCCACTGCATTGGTCCACTGTGGAATTTCACATAACTGCAGCCAAGCTGTTTGAGCTGTTGCAGTGGTTTTGATTCTCATTACTGCATGAGCTGACTGTGCTCTGGGATATGGCTGAAGATTTATCACCAATTCCTGAACAAGGATTTTCCTTTTCTTAAATTGGCTTGTGGATCCTTGTACTGCTGGAAGGCAGGACTGGCTATCTGCATATGAAATCTTAAACCTAGGGGTTTTTCTCTGTTGGCTGCCATTCTCTCTTGTTCCTAGTGAGTGTTTGATCCTGCAAGCTGCTTCTGCACAAGTGTATTTATGCAGGTGGGAAAGACAAAAGCTGGGTATGTGTCCCAGTGTATTAAATTAGCCCTATGGTTGATCTTTGGTTGTTGTTTAAAGTGTCATCCCTGTGACCCTTTTTTTTTTTTTTGAAGTACAGGAGCTTGATTTTCAGTACAAAGTGCTGCAACATAAGTACAGACCAAGCCCTCTGTGTTCTTCCCTGTGTTAATTCCTCTAGGTATTCCTAATGTAACAATGGCTCCTAACTGTGACCTAGAATCATCTCAAGGACCCATTGTACAAAAAAGTCATCTTCCCAGTCAGCTTTCCACCCTTAGTGAATCTGTCATGGATTTCCAGGTAATGTGTATTTTATTCCATGCATGCATTTCCTGTGACTTTTTTGTTTGTACAAAATAAGACTATTCAAAGATAAGAGCTTCCAAGCAGAACTAAATTGGTTTTTGTTGATAACATTCATAGAATACAAGGTTAAACAGAGGTGAGACTTTTGTGACTTTTTGTGAGATTTTTGTGAGACTCTGGGAATTGTGATTTTTTTATTTAACCCTTGGATAGGAGAAACAGACATCATTATGTCTTGTAGAAGCTCTCTCACATTAGCATGCCCTCCCTTTTAAGTTCTGGAATTCTCAGGAAGAGTACAATGTCTTTATCTTTACAATGTCCAAGAGAAGAACTTCTGTGTCACTTAATAGCTGCATTTCAGAATATGTCTCTGATTAACCAATTAATGTCTGCATATATGGGGGACACACAGCCTTGTGTGTCTAAGTTCACTCCGCAGCCTTGATGACTCCTACAAGTTAAACTTTTAATATTTTGCATTATTTTATATTTATTCAGATTCATTGTAGACAATTTTTAATTTGTTGGAAATTTAATATAGTTTGCCTTTGTGCTCTGCTTTCTTTTAATAACATGTTGTACCAGGAATGCTTCCTGGGATTTGAGGACAGGCATGTGATGCTCCCAGAAAACTTCACTCTGATGAAGACCAAACAGGCTGTTGGGAGCAGCAATGATGGTGTCATATTCCTATGGTTCTCTACTCCCATTTCCTACTATCGTGCAGAAATACCTGTAATCTGAGTTGTGGTACTTCTGTGTTAGGTATTTTGGTGTGGCATTTGTTCTTCAGTTTTTTTAATATGAGGAGTGAACTGCAGCACCTTTGTAAGCTGCAGGATAAGCTGAAATTTTAAAAAGAAACATGTACTGATTACCAAGCTTCTGTGAAATCTTATGTGCCTATGAAAATCACAGTTAAAGGCTATCTCGTGGAAACCTGCCCTAAAGCTCAGAGTCCTGGTAGTTTGAGGAACCCTAATTCCAAATTTTGTTGTTTGTATTTAGCTATAAATGTAGTAGGATTGTATTATGTTCTGGTTGCATTTTACACAGAGACTATAAATGTAATTTTGCAGGTCTCTTTATGAAGTTGTTTAGCTTGTAATGTCAAATGACTGAAGTTTTACAAATTATGTGGATTCAGATTGCTTTTCCATATTTTGCCTGTATCTCTGTTTTTGGTACAGCCTTAACAGCTTTTATTTTATCCTCTAGTTTGCATGGGTTTTCATACTTAATATAAATCATACAAAAAATATTAGTTATTGTATTAGTCACTTGCTGTGTTATTTTCAGAGACAATTGTCACTATTAATATTTCTTAGGTACTAAAGTCCCCCAGAACTTCCTACAAAGGGGGTGTGGGTTTGGGTTTTTTTTCTGTGTAGTATTTTTATTTTAAGTATGTTTTGGAGGGGAAGACTAAAACAATTGTGGCTTGTTTTTTTTTTCTTGAAACAATTTGATTAAATTGGTCTCTTAACTTCTTCTGAATTCTGTTTTGTTTTCTTTGTTATCTCTTGAAAAGGTTTTTAATGAAGAGGAGGAGGAAGCATTATCAGAAGATGGACACCATGACGTTTTGGGTTTCAAATCCAGCATCAGTTCTGACAGGTCAGTACAAATACATCCATTCAGGTTTCCATCTGCTTGGCACTGGAAACAGGTGGGAGTTAAAAGGGTGTTGAATGGGTATAGTTAAGTTAGTTCTTCTGTTTCCCTTTGCCCTCCTTTCCTGATCTTGGAATTCCAGGGAAAGGCCTTTTTTAGCATTGAGACTGGGAATGAAAATGAGCAGGGAATTCACCTGAACAATTGCAGATAATTTTAGGAGCTCTGTCAAGACAGATAATTTGGAATCATGCCCTTGTCCTGTTACAATTCACTGTTATTCGTGTTTTGAATGTAGGCTGCTTCGGTTGTTGAGAGAAGAAAATTCCTTGGTGAATTCTCAGTTGTGGGTTGAAAAGGATATGAGAAAAACCACCTTACCACAGAAGTCAGATGCGCCTTGCACTCCCACAGCTGTTTCTCCTTCATTGGATCAGTCAGGTGGGATTTGCCAAATTCACAGCAAGGTTGTTGGGTTGTTCATAGGAGCCTGTCTGGTGTTGCTTTCCTGGGTGGGGGTGAGAGAAATGAATGCTAATTTGGCTCAGATGTATGTCCAGACTAAAAAACCAGCTCTTCTAATAAAATTACTCTAGAACCTTATACTATTAAGAACTATTAAGCCTGAATTATTTCACATGTGCTTTTTTTGTTTGTGTTTAAATCAGCTCTCAATTCTACCAGTGTAATCAAGAGAACCCATTCAAGACTTCAGAATGAAGATGAAGAAGAGTCTGTAGACTCCGGTGACAGTGTGAGACAAGTGCTGAATCCGAACTCAAGGAAACAAAAACAAATTGCAGCAAAGAGTTTAGTAGTTTTAAAAATAAAATACCCTTTTTCCAAGGTCCTTCATGTCATAAGAAAATGTGGATGGGAGGGGATCATTGTGGGGCTAATACCAAAATTTGATGAGGGGGTCCTTGAGTCTTGAGCTTGGCTTGTGTATTTCCTCTGTGTTCTGCACCTTCATTGGCAAAGCCATGTCTGTAGGAATCTGGGAACCATAAGAACAGTACTTTGATGATGCCCATTACCATGCTGGTCATGGAGTTCTCTCCTTTGCAGGGTTTTTCTAGTTCTGATCCAGCTTTGTCTTCTGTGCTGTACAGATGCAGGATGCATTTCAGTCCCCATATTCTGCATGTTTGTATGAGGGGATTGACGTCAGGTACAAGCTGTAGCATGAAAGGAGAGTTGCTTACTGAGTATGAGAAAGTAGCTGATGTTTTTCATAAGCAAACTATTCCCATGCATTTAACTGGAAAGAAGAAAAGCACAAACAGTGTATCCAAGATAAAAGCACCAAACAGTTGTGCTTGAGAGGTACAATTGTGGCAGCAAAAAATGTGGTTTTTGAGGATCTGAAAATAGCTGTAACGGCTGGGGGATGTTCTTTGATGGTCTGTTTCATCTTACGGCAAGAGAGGGCATTTCCTTTGATTTACTTCAATAAACAATGCAATTTCGTTGCTACTGTGAAGATCTCTATACAAGTTGAAATTCCAGTGACCCATTTTTTTCTTCCCCTTCAGTGAAAAGAAAGCAAGCTGCACAGAACTCTGCAAGACAGAAGAGAGATGATTCTCCAACTAATTTAATCCAGACTAACCTTCAAAGGGACAACAGATCCGGTCTAGATGTTCTCAACCACATGATCCAGGAAGTAGAGCGTGAACTGGAGGAATATGAGCGATGTACAGGACGTGAGGTCCAAAAAAAAGAGAGAAGTGAAGGCCTGTCTGGGTTTACTCTGTCACTGGTGAACGCCCTCTGTCGTTTGATGCGTTACCTCAGAGAGGTGAGAGACTTACAACTGCTCCTGGAAAGTGAATGAAAAAGGGTGTAAAGTTATTTTACAGATGTGAACTTTGGTCTTTTCTGGCTTCAAATCATTTTACATTGAACTCTGATTATCATTGCTTATTTGCTAGATTTGCATACAATTAGGAGGTAAAACTTGTGGTTTGTCAGGAGCTGGTTAGTAATTGGTATCCCTTGGAATGAAAATGGAAGAGTTGACTGCAGTGAAAGTCTCTCGGTGTCTAAGAGTAGAAAACAGCAATTGAAATAATTTTAAATTTGTTCTTTACATGTACTCAGAGTTGTAACAGAGTAATAAGTACAGCATTGTTTACAAATTCATTTTTTTCCTTTGCCTCCCAAAGGTGATGCTGTTGTCACCAGAGCAGTGGACCCAAATCCCCTATTTTCCTTGAGGGATTCCTTAGTCCTCTTTCACTATCCGTAACAGAAACTTTACCTCAAGTAAGAATGCCCTGACGTTCTCGCTGTAACAGTGCAGAGCTGGGAATTAATGGAATTCCATAAAGACAACCTGTCTGCCACATAGAAGCTTTTGTTAAAAAAGAAAAGGGAAAAAAAGGGTGTTTTAGTTCATCTGTATCCCAGAACTATCAAGAAGCAGCAATGCCTCACAGATTCATTTGGTCTATGTGACATTTTAAACCAGATTATGACAGTTCCTGCGCTCTTAATAGGTGCAGCAGAATATATTATCTAAATGCTAATGCTCTATTTCATAGCAAAGGTAATAAATCTCTAATGAGATAATAATGAATGTGGAACTGTCTTACTTTGGTTCCTTTTCGGAATGTATAATAATTGAAAGGGGAAAACTGATCTTACTTTAAAATTCTATTTTTTTTTTTTTTCTTACCAGATGTGTAATAACTTGATCCTTGTATTACTCTGTATTTAATCTGTATTAAAGAATTTACTTTGATTAAGTCCAGGAAGTAAATGGTAAATAATCAATCCAAGAGTGAAAAGCAAGTGCTGTCAAAAGGTGGACTTCAGCTGAGAAAGTCTTACGTGTTAAAACACAGTTATTAACGCTTATTAAATGCTTATTATTTGTTATTAAAACAAAGTTATTAATGCTTGATTTTTGTTAAATTGTAATACCAAAGCAGGGAATTAAATTTGGTTCTTTTGCAGTTCTAAGAAAGGATATTAGATTTTCAGTAGAATCTTTTCTGCTTATTAGGAATACATCAATTTAATATCATCCAGTTTGTGTTATAGATGTAACTGCAGTTATAATCCTGTTTAGATTGTCTTTAATTTTTGTATAGAGATTATTTATTCCTTAGCCTCAGATTTCTTCCAAAGCTACTCCCATATTTTTTGTGTTACCATTCCATCCTTCTAGAAGTTGATTATTGCTCACAGAATTGTATGCCACACTCATAAATTTACTACCTAAATTCTCAAGCAGCAATATGAAGAAGTCACTCAAGCTGTGTAATGTGGTTAATTGTATTCAGGCTTGCTTGAGATAGATACTGCATTCATAATCTGAAGTGACCTTTCTCCTTTTCAGGGAGGTTTAATTACAATTAGAATTTTCTGGGAAGAAGCCCAGCTTTTCTTGAGTGTTTCATAAAACCTGGTCCCTGTGATGCCAGACATAAATCAAGCACTTTGTGTGCACCATCTGTCTTGCCTAGCCAACAGAGTTAGCAGAATTCCAATGCCTGAATTATAACTGGCAATGCTTTTTAAGAAAACTACTTGGAAGGGAATATTTAGAAAGCCCTGATTTTAGTTAAACAGTCAGTCTTCATGAGGTTTCAAAGCTTTTAGAGAGATTCCCTTTCTCTACTTCCAGTTTTGCTGCAGAAAATTGGAAGGATTGCAATAAAGGACATTGCCTAATTTATTCTCAAAATTGTATCTAAAAAGTAGAAAAAGAAACCTGAATTCAGGAATCTTCCATGAAAGTGTTTTTATTAAATTATTAACAAACCAACACCTATAAGAAGAAATCAATGGATAGAGTAGAGGCTGAAAAGGAGGAAAAGAAACTTCTGAAGTGTTTGCAAAACCATATGAAATTCTTAAAGGGCAGTGGATAAATCTGACTTGGTTTCTAAACTAATTTTTAGATCACCTTCCAAATGTTAGAATTAATAATTCCCTCCTCACTCCCATTCTGCTAAGAAAGCTGTTTCTTTGCCAGACCCACATGACAGAAAGAGTGTGGGCATATTCCCTGAATCTGTGCTGCTCTGTTCTCCCTATCTGCTGCATGTTCTGGTGCAGTGTTAAAGCTCATGTGATTCGAGCCACACCTGGCAGTGGGCTGGGATGGAAA